CGAGTACCCGCGCAGACTGTTGTGAATTTAAATATATATAATTACGTATGTATGTGTCTGATTCCCACGGTGGAACTGGGACAATAGGAAACTTGCGTTCTTTGCTACAATGACGATTATAAATCTATATAGAGCTGATGATTTTAATTTTTTTTTTTACTAAAATGAGCGAAAGATTGTCCGGCTATTCGTAGAAGGAATACATTTTAATACTTCCGGAGCACTTTCTGACTCTGTTATATCTGATGCATTTATTACTCACTCGAAATACACACACATATGAAAATATTCAAGTCTTCTTTTTTTTTTTTTTTTTTTATTGCTTAGATGTGTGGACGAGCTCACAGCCCACCTGATGTTAAGTGGTTACTGGAGCCCATAGACATCTACAACGTAAATGCACCACACACCTTGAGATATAGTTCTAAGGTCTCAGTATAGTCACAACGGCTGCACCACCCTTCAAACCGAAACGCATTACTGCTTCACGGCAGAAATAGGCGGGGCTTCTACCGCAATTTTTTTTTCATTGATAATATGGGTGGACTAGCTCATAGCCCATTAATATCAACCGCGTTGGTTGATGCGTATGAGGGAAATCATCTTGAAAATGATTTAGTTATTGAGAAGGAATAGTTTCAACCTAATATTATTAGTTTTCTGATTACTTTCTACTGTATATTAATATTTCAAAGACGTCGACTTAATCATTTTTGTATCGTCTTAATATCACAACACAAAAACGAAAAGTAAATGACGATTGTATCATCATCATAGTCGGTTGCTCTTGGCAGAGCGGTCGTGGTCATGTGGAATCATTGTTTATTTAAGTCTTGACAGCTGCTCTCCATAGCTCGTGAACTGAGGCTTGCCGCAAGCAGTCGTTAAATGGGGTTTTGGTTAAGGATTTTCACCCCAAATTGTATAAGTTCCATAAATAAATAAAAGTCGTTGTAACAGCTTTATGTAGATAGTATTTTCGCAGCCACCCCGCCATGGTTCGTAGTGTGTCTCAATCATTTTTCCTGTTTAGTTTAATCTATTACTGTAGTTTCTTCAGTTATATTGAATATTCTGTTAACCTGTAAGAATATATGTAAGAAGTTCCACGAAATGCCGAGGGTCGATTATGAATAAGCATAATATTTTTTTTTGTTATCTCAAAAAACCGTTAGAGATGCTGGCACATCCATGTCCATGTTGAATCACTTCTGGTGGGCATGAAGTCGTTGTGGCCTTAAAGGATAAGACGTCCCGTGCATTCGTATCTAGTGATGCACCGGTGTTCGAATCCCGCAGGCGGGTACCAATTTTTCTAATGAAATACGTACTTAACAAATGTTCACGATTGACTTCCACGGTGAAAGAATAACACAGTGTAATAAAAATCAAACCCGCAATATTATTTTGCGTACTTACTGGTGGTAGGATTTCTTGTGAGTCCGCACGGATAGGTACCACCACCCTGCCTATTTCTGCCGTGAAGCAGTGTTTGAAGGGTTGGGTAACTGTTGTAACTATACTGAGACCTTAGAACTGATATCTCAAGGTGGGTGGCGCATTTACGTTGTAGATGTCTATGGGCTCCAGTAACCACTTAACATGACGATAATTTTCTCATTTTTGAGATTTAAAGTCGAACTCTCAGTTTTATGGTATCATGACTGGTTTACTCTTCAGGAATGGCTGATACACGGTAGGAATATACAGGATAGTGAACTTACCCATGGAGGCTGATACTATGACCACCACTATTACGAAGACACGGTAATAGCCCGAAAAGCTTGAGAAAACCAGGTTCGCATGCCTATATCTTATGAACTGTTTGTTTCATTGGCCTTGTAGGAAACTGATCTCACGGCCCACAGGATGGAAAGTGGTTAACGTTGCCCATGGACTTCAGCAATGCCATGAGCCAAGCCGCTGCCTACCTTATTGGTGCCTGTTATTGGTGTAGACCTTTAAGCTAACCATTCCGACTTTTGAAGAGTTTCTAATGTTGTATTATATGTTTCGGTGTATCGTATCACGGTTCTCCCATCCGCCAAGCCGGACTTTACACATACTGTTTACACATATGCCGTCACATTAGTAACCCAATCGGTTTTAGTTGAAATGGTATTTTAACTCGAGCACACACTATTTCAACAGGGGTTTTTTCCCAGCGATACATACGGTCTGTTATCTAACGCATCGGTACACTTACGGGTTGCGCAAAAATGCCTTTACACTCTTGTGCGCCGTACTTTAACAACGTTTGACAATTAACACATTTTTGAATGGAATTTTAGGAAAACACGCGGTTTTTGTAACCTCAGCATCAATGCCTCTGAAGTAACTTTATCTATGTTACCTTTGTTATGGCTGTGATATATAGATCGGCTTGTAGAATATGTTATAATAATCTCGTGTTTTTAGCCACTCTCATAGAAACATGGAGCGGAAGCTTTCATAGTAACCTCGATTGGTTATTCTAGATTCGCCGAGCTAGTAGGCGAGCTCAGGAGGCTCAAATCGGGGGTATTGCTAACACTGGCCCTAGCAAGAGCAGTGCTTCGCAGAATCTACCACCGGATCAGAAACGCGACCCACTGGGAAGATCCGGCGAGAAACTCAGTGGGCTGTGTCTATGGGTTAATTTACTCATCGAGCCCTTGGTCGCAAGTGACGGGTTCGGCGAGGACGGTGACCGGTGCTTGAGGTAACTAAAAGCCCTGTTAATGGATCGGGAGGATCCGTAATGACTTGCTTAGGGCGACGTCGACTGTTTATCATTCGGTCCACAGGATCGGGTGTATTGCACAGGCTGTCAAAGCCAAACCTTTTTCGAATCAGTGCCTTGCCTTGCCACTTAACGCCTACTTTTACCGCTGATTTAAATTGAATATGCAATTTCGAAAAGGGCACTTCTCTGAAAATGTAAAATGTTCAGGAAATGAAAAAAAAAATGATTATTTTCTAAAGCAGTGTAAAATTTAAAATATTAGCTTTTGAGATATATTTTAGTGTTAATTAGCAATTGAAAATTACTGGAATTATTATAAAATGGGTGTAGGTAAGCCTCAAAACTACATGTATATGAAAAAACGTATTTGACAAAATATGCGACATGTGCCCTTTTCGAAATTGCATATTCAATTGTGTCTAATGTTTTTACAGCCCGTAGTTATGGAGTGTTGTCTGTCTTCGAAGCAATTCCTTAGTGACTTATCGCTTCGCTTTCGCTCTTATCATCATACGCATGGACGTTCTTAATGTGACGAGTTTAAAACAAATACTTTTGTTATAAGAAGTAACTTATTCTTGAGGGTCACAAGGTCCGTTGTCGTCCGTGTTTTATTACAGATTTCAAGTCGGCTATTCGGCTATTATTAATTATCCTATTGAAATACAAAAATGGGTGGATCTAAAGGAAATAAATTCGCGAAATTTATAGACATCGGTAATCGGCATTAGGGTATATCAGGGTTAGCACGTGTCGACTGGCGTCACTTGGGACCGTAGAAGCGGTCTTACATTCTACTTTCAACGACAGCTGCTATACGATAATGTTAAGACCTAATATCTCAATGTGGGTCATTTACGTTGGATGGAGTGTGACCCAAACTGCTAGAGCAACAAAAATTGAAGATGAAATGGAAAGACCTTAAGTATACAAAATAAATTAACTGTCATAGTTAATAAGATAAACGGTCAAGCTTAAATCAACTCAGAGATTGATTACAAATAACTTGCGTTTAAGTATAACTATTCTAAGTTATATTAATTGATACAAAAGGCAATGAAGCGTGCAATTGTTTTTGTCAAGGCTAGACAAGTAATGGCTTATTGTGATCGACTAAAGATAGGTACGGGTTGTGAAGAATATTGTTTATTAATTCGCAGCAATACTACGAAATAGTTTGAATACGGAAAACTCGCATTTAAATCTCAAAATCAAACACACCCAGATCTGGAATATTAAATATCTAACAGATATACTGACCGTCAATATAGCCATGGTCCTTTGTTATCGCAGTTAAGTAGTCTAAGAAAAAACAACAATGGTTCGGTTTCTTTTGTTGCGGATTTTGGTAAATTATGGTAAAATATAACTATAAATGTACTACTATAGATATTACTATTACTAATTATATCGACGGATAAAAATCTATTTGGCTTAAGCGACATTTTTAGCGACTTTACAGGAAAGCCATTTAAGGTATAAAATTTGGAAAAAATATAGTAACAAAAAAAAAAAATCTTCAGCTGTTTCAAGGGAGTAAACTTAATTGAAGCTCAATTGAAAACATCGAACTATTGCTAATACCTAATAAAACGCACCTTTAATTACAAAGCTAAATATCGCTTAACCTAAATAGCCTTTCTCTCCTTGATATATCGCCCATACGGTGCGATAACGTCACTGGTGGTAGGACCTCTTGTGAGTCCGCGCGGGTGGGTACCACCACCCTGCCTATTTCTGCCGTGAAGCAGTAATGCGTTTCGGTTTGAAGGGTGGGGGAGCCGTTGTAACTATACTTGAGACCTTAGAACTTATATCTCAAGGTGGGTGGCGCATTTACATTGTGGATGTCTATGGGCTCCAGTAACTACTTAACACCAGGTGGGCTGTGAGCTCGTCCACCCATCTAAGCAATAAAAAAAAAACTCAGTTCAGTTTTAACAAAAATTGCGTGTCTTTATAGCACCGTATGTGCGATATGTGTTATGAATATACCATATAATTTTCAATTGTAAATACCTATACCAAAAATATACCCAAGCAGCGGTCAACAGTTATTAAGACGTAAGGTAGCTTCTTACTCTATTGGTGAGTGCGAAAATTTGACCGATCCATAGGCATCCTCCTACACATGAAATCGGTTGCTAAATCGTGCTAACACGTGACCTTCGTCGATACCAAAAAAAGCGCAAACGACCCTCCCGAATACGTGTCAACAAAGAGTCAAATTGAACTTGATCCAAACAAAAGCAATTCATAGTGGTCGACCGTGCATTGTGCACCGAGACGCGGCTTCAAACAGAGGCGATTCTCACGGCGGGTTCATAGGTAACGCCAGTCCGCGACGCGATACCAACCGAGCACAACGCTCCATTGAATCAGCAACGCGTTAAATTAGGCCAGCTTATCGGCCAGGTAAAAATGGCCTGTCTCACTAGGAAGTTTTCCCTATCATGGGTGCAGCTTGGCCTGGTTTTGTGCTTTATCTATTGCGCTATCGGCGTTCCGCAGTTAGACCTACCGCCGATTCCCAGTACTTCTCAAAGCGGCTATGGCCTATCCAGTACTCCGTCGTCTCTCAATTCTCCCGGGAATCAGTTTGACAGGAATTATCAGTTCAGCACTGCGAGACCGAGTCCTACCAGCGCGCCTGGAGTTTACCAAGTTTCCTCCACCCCGTTTAACGGAATAAGTCCGGACATAAGCAACAATGGGTATCCAAATGTTGACTATAACAGCAGAAACCCTAGTTCTACGCTCCGGCCCTATGACGAGAGTAATGGAGACGACAGAATTGATATTAATAGTGATCCAAACTTCAGAAGAAACGACCCCAACTTTGTCAGGAACGACCCGAATTACGTAGGAACTAATCCGTATGATTTCAATCGGGGCGGAGACGTAAATAGTATTGATGATAGATACCGCCAAGTGAATTTGCAGCAGGTCAGAGATTTTCTGGCACAGGCTGACGATCAGGCTTCGAAGGAATGCACCAATAATGTCGCAGCGCAGTGGAACTTCGAAACAAACGTCAATGATGAAACACAGCATGCAGCGGTGAGTGATTACATCTTCTATACATCTTCAAAACATAAAAGCTATGTACTTTACAATAGATTGATAAAATGAAGTGTAAGAAAATATGATTGAAAATCTTTTCCGATTCTTTTGAAAAGTTATTTTTTTATTGCTTAGATCTGTGGACGAGCTCACAGCCCACATGGTGTTAAGTGGTTACTGGAGCCCATAGACATCTATAACGTAAATGCGCCACCCAGCTTGAGATATAAGTTCTAAGGTCTCAGTATAGTTACAACGGCTGGCCCACCATTCAAATCGAAACGCATTACTGTTTCACGGCAGAAATAGGTAGGGTGGTGGTACCTACCCGTGCGGACTTACAAGAGGACCTACCACCAGTAACCAGTAAATAGTTGACAACATCTTGAAATTAGATAAGGAAGAATAATTTTTTCCAAGACAAAAGTTATTAATTAATGACATATTATGTATAAAAATTAATGCATATTAATCAGTACTAGAAAAAATATCGATTTTAAACCACTAAAACCTATAACAGAGTCAAAACATCATAAGTACATGAAAGAAAATATTAGAAGTAAAATAGCAATAGTATATCAAATAAAAAATTATTAGAAGAATAATTGAATTAACAATAAAATGAATTATTTTAAGAAATATGAATAGAATATTATGAGGTAAGGTTGTCATTCTCTTCTTTCTTTCCTTCTACAGAAGAGATCATTTTTCAGAGATTTTCACTCACAGGAGGACTCACAAGAGGTCCTACCACCAGTCTGTTAGATTTATTTTCATTTCTTATTTGATATAATACCGTCATCTCAAATTTTATAATGATTCCAACCGTTATTTATCATAAATATCATAAAATTTAGTTAAATATTTATCAGTCATTAATGTACCTATGGAAATCAACCCATTCCCCTAGCGCATTCTCAGATATATTTTGATCCACATGCCCGGCTCTGAATCAATTATCCTCGAAAGTATTACCCGAGTTCATTACTGAAATCCTTACAAAGCAGTCGGCGCATAACATGTCTGAATGCATAAAAATCTCTATAAACATTTACAATAATTGAACGTCACACATTCTGTCTCGTAATTAAAGCAGCTTTAATTTTCACATAACTTTTTTTTTGTTTACATCATTTCATACGAATTCATCGGCAGTAATTATCGTTAGCGCTGGTACTCGCCTTCCGAGATTACTATCAAACGGACAATGAAGGAACAGATTTGCGGTGACGCGTCATATTTTATAATACATCATGAGAAAAATAAGTGTTATTATTAATACGTGAAGCAAAAACTTTGTACGTATCCCTTTTTACGAAAATTGCGCGGACGGAGGAGTATGAAATTTCCCACACTTATAGAGAATATAGCGAAGGAATGGTGATTTATTTTTAAATTATGCATTAATAATACATTAAATCAATAAAAAAAGCTTTACGCATACTACCATGTTTTTGACACACACATTACTCTATGTTTATTGTCAAACTTTTGTTGCTCTGCTAGTCTGTGGTCAAATTGAAAATACGTTAATATTGTTTATTTGTCTCTAGTGTTACTCTACGATTTTTTTGAATCACGCTTGTTTGCAATACGTCAGGTGGACAGAGAGCTATTTATCGCAAACGCTTAAAAAGCAAAGCTCTTTAATATTAATTATAATTTTTTAAATAAAGAATTCTCTTATTAGTTTATGCTAAAAAAAAATTTAACGCTTCCAATTCTGTCGAATAAAGCCTTACCGAAACCCGTGGTACAGTCTTAAACTCCTTAAAGGAAGGCGTTCGATTCGGTAATATAATGGATAATCTGGAGATATATAGATACTCGAGTCTAAGCGACTGTATTTAAAACGTAAAGAGTACCTTAAAAATTAATACTCCTCAGAGCATCTATCTGCTACGGAGCCTCGTGCATATGATAACCTTACTTCCAATTTTCTTGGAAGTTCCAAGCCAGTACTGCTGAAACCTTACCCCTACGACTTCATCCTAAACCAATTTCTTTTTTCTTTTTTTTATTGCTTACATGAGTGGACGAGCTCACAGCCCACCTGGTGTTAAGTGGTTACTGGAGCCCATAGACATCTACAACGTAAATGCGCCACCCACCTTGAGATATCAGTTCTAAGATCTCAGTATAGTTACAACGGCTGCCCGACCCTTCAAACCGAAACGCATTACTGCTTCACGACTGAAATAGGCAAGGAGGTGGTACCTACCCGTGCAGACTCACAAGAGGTCCTACCACCAGTAAAAGTACCACCAGTAATTTATGCTAAAACAAATTTAACGCTTCAAATTCTGTCGAATAAAGCCTTACTGAAACCCGTGGTACAGTCTTAAACTCCTTAAAGAAAGGCGTTCGATTCGATAACCTAATGTATAATCTGGAATAGATACTCAAAGTGTCTGAGCGACTGCGTCTAAAACGTAAAAAGGACCTTAAAAATGAATACTCCTAAGAGAATATATCTGTTACGGAGCGTCCAGCATATGATGACCTCGCTTCCAAATTTCTTGGAAGGTCCAAGCCAGTACTGCTGAAAACTGACCCCTACGACTTCATCCTAAGCCCATTTCTATGACGGATCTCCTATACAAGCCATAAACTATACCCGAGAGAGAACAACACGTGCCTTTTCTATTTAGAAAGTTTAATTTCTCTCACACATTATTAAAAACAGTGCCGGTGTGAATGTTGTGTATAGTTTCTATACCTACTTTAAATGAATGTCTTAGTTTTTCGTCCGATATTGTTCCGATGGCTGATACAATTAAAACGAATATTTCTTGTTAGCAGTTGTGTTGTTGTTTTCGTGATAACAAAGAGAGATGGGAGGGAGCAACTTTTCTAAATAGAGATTCGAAAAAAAAAATTGTAATTATTTATATTACTATGTACCTATAATTACTAGTGAATATTATTTATATTACTATGTACCTATAATTACTAGTGAATATTATACCTATTACTAGGTACCTATAATTACTAGTGAAATTTGACTACGTTTTAGTAACTACAAAGTGTAATCTTGGAGGATAACGCAGTTGTCTCGGAATTACGAGTGTTTATAAACAGAGAAATCAATAAGAATGTGGCCAATTGAGCCCAACCCATTGGGTTCCTAGCCGGATTTTCTCAGTGGGTCGCGATTTTTTCTCAGTGGGTCGCGATGATAGATTCAGAGAAGTACTGATCTTGCTAGGGCCAATGGTAGAAACTTTCTTAGATTGATCCCGTTAGATTCGTAGCTGGTATAGGCTCTTAGGCTACCCAGCGATTAAGTAGAAAAATAATGTAAGCTATTTCAAAAACAAATTAGCGAAACAGAAAAACACAATTTTTTTTTATTTTTTTTTATTGCCTTGATGTGTGGACGAGCTCACAGCCCACCTGGTGTTAAGTGGTTACTGGAACCCATAGACATCTACAACGTAAATGCGCCACACACCTTGCGATATAAGTTCTAAGGTCTCAGTATAGTTACAACGGCTGCCCCGTCCTTCAAACCGAAACGCATTACTGCTTGACGGCAGAAATAGGCAGGGTGGTGGTACCTACCCGTGCGGATTCACAAGAGGTCCTACCACCAGTAAGAAACCACTATATTACGTATTAATAAATTTAGTGTTGTTGTTCTTGAAGGTATGTTTTAAATGTTTTTATTGACAACTAGGTGACCCGGCAAACTTCGTAGTGCCTCAATCTATAAACAAAAGACCTAAACTTTTGTATAATATAAACTTAAAACAAACAAAAGGAATCCGTCCGATGGGTGACACACCAAAGGAAAAACAAAATTGTTATTTTTATTTAATTCCGAGCATTTTCATATTTATCTACCTTTTATACCTTCTCTGGACTTCCACAAATAATTCAAGACTAAAATTAGCCAAATCGGCCCAGCCGTTCTCGAGTTGTAGCGAGACTAACGAACAGCCATTCATTTATATATATATATATATATATATATATAGATAACGTGAAATTGTATTGGTTATAAGATGCAATAAAGAGTGAATTAACCACGAATTAACTGTAAAATGGTTAAAATACGAACGTAATTACTTTACCACGTTTACCACGAATTTCGACAATTTCAAAATGCCACGGTATAATATTTTTGGTCTTAGCGATTTTGAATTTACATTATATATTTATGTAATTTATATGATAAATTATATCAAGTTATGACAATATTTTTTTCCTTATTATGCAATATTTATCCTAAATAATGCTTATCTATTATTGACCTCGACTATATTGATGATTGTGTTTTGTTGAAGTAGGTTAATGTTTTAGTATTATTATTAAAAACCCTTGTAGTCAGTGACCTCCTTATTTTTTTATCGCATTTTTGGTACGTGTAATAGATACAAAATAACAAATAATGTTTTTTTTCACTAATGAGATCTTATCTGCTGATTTTTCGTGTGAACGAATTGGCTATGCCTATACAGTTCGTGATTAATATTTTTTGTATATAGTTACTTCAATTATGCAAATTCGAGAACAAAAAAATTAAACTATTTATTTGAAATCAGCCTTTTTTTGTGCGTGACTGTAATTAAGTTTTTATTTATTTATTTATACTTTATGCACAAAACAAAAGTTGTACACAGGCGGATTTAATGCCATGAGCATTCTCTTCCAGTCGATCATAGGGTGGTGCAGAGATAATGCATGGTAGGTGCATTAACAAAAGAATAACAAACAACAACAAAAAACTAAAAAATAAATAAAAAAAATATGCATAATATGGACTATAATATATTTGCATATTGATCATATAATATTATGATAATATGTTTTATTCAACAGAATCTCTTTTTGGTTCCGCTAATTATTTGCTGGTATCATAAGGGACTATTCCAGCTATGCATGCACGTGATCTCACGGGCTCAACCTGAGAGAATGTTCTAACACTAGCCCTGTCCAGTCCTACGATCAGAACGGAATCGCGACCCACTGAGAAGATCCGGTCAGAATCTATT